TATGCCATACACATAAGTAAATCCAGGGGCCAGAGAGATAGTACAGGTATCAGGGTGTTTTCCTTGCACACGACTAGCCTAGGTTTTAGTCTTTGCACCCCGGATGGTCCAAAGCTCAGCCAAGAGTGATCTCTGAGTACAGAGCTAGGATAAACCCTGAGCTCCACTTGGCATGTCCACAAAACAAAACAAAACAAAACAAAAATTCAAACTGGATTAAAAATTTATGATCTGAAATTATTAAACATATAGTAGAAAAATTACGTGGTAAATTCCTTGAATCTATTTTTTGAGGAATAGATTTCAATGGGAGAGAAAACAAAAAGGAAAAAAATTCCACAAAGAAACATACAAGGACAAATGGAAAAGCCTGTGTACTGTGAAAGAAACCATCATAAAAATAAAAACGAAGCCTATTGAACGGAAAAAGATAATTTTTAATCAAATAGCTAGCAAGCGTATAATATGCAAAATATATAAAGAACTGTAGCACTATCCTCCTGTTGTTCATTGATTTGCTCAAGCGGGCAACAGTAATGTCTCCATTGTGAGACTTGTTACTCTTTTTGGCATATCAAATACGCCACGGGGAGCTTGTCAGGTTCTGTTTTCGGGGCCGGATATACTCAGTAACTTGCTGGGCTCTCTGAGAGGGATGGAGGAATCGAACCCGGGTCAGCCATGTGCAAGGCAAACTGCCAACCTGCTGTACTATTGCTTCAGTCCATATAAAGAACATCAAAACCAATCTAATAAAAAAAATAGGCAGAAGATCCAAACAGACATTGCACCAAATAATCATACAATGGGCACATTAAATCATGACTTATCACAAAGGAAATGGAAATCAAAGCCATAATGAGATAGCATCAGACAGATATTAGAATCAAAAATGTCAAAAGGTAAATCTAAAATGGTAAACTTTTTAGTATAAAAAGCATTAAAAATAAGGCTGGAGCCATAGTACATTGGGGCGGGTGCTTGCCATGTACGCTGTTCCCCCCCCCCCCCCCCAGCACTACCAGGAGTAATTCCTGAGTGCAGAGCCAGGAGTAAGCCCTGAGCATAGCCAGGTATGACCAAAAAAAGAAAAAAAAATACTAAAAATATTCAGAAGTCCAGTAATTCCACTTCTGTTTATCCAAACAAAACAATGCACTAATAAAAAATAGATAAATGTGCCCCCATGATCACTACAATGTTATTTTAAAAATCTAAGATAAGAAGACGATGAATAGATAAAAATGCATATGTGTGTACATATATTAGCATAAAATGAAAGACTTCTCATAGTTTTCAAGATGATCTGTCTTCCCATTGTTCATCGATTTGCTCGAGCGGGCCCAGTAACGTCTCTATTGTGACAATTGTTACTGTGTTTGGCATATCGAATACGTCACGGGGAGCTTGCCAGGCTTTGCCGAGCAGGTGAGATACTCTCGGTAGATTGCCAGGCTCTCCAAGAGGGGCGGAGGAATCGAACACCTGTTGGCCATGCAAGGCAAACGCCCTACCCACTGTGCTATCGCTCCAGCCCAGTTTTCAAGATAAAAAGCTTAAATTCTGCCATTTGTGACAACATGGATGGAGCCTGAGGACATTTTACTTAGTGAAATGAACAAAATAAAGTGCCTTACCCACTGTACTTATTCTGGTCCCCAAAGCAGTAATTATCTATTTATTTATTTAGTTTTTTTCTTTTTGGGTCACACCTGACCATGCATGGGGGTTACTCCTGGCTCATGCACTCAAGAATCACTCCTGGAAGTGCTCGGGGGACCATATGAGATGCTGGGAATTGAACCTGGGTTGGCCTTGTGCAAGGCAAATGCTCTACCCACTATGCTATGGCTCCAGCCCCAAGCAGTATTTATTTTTACACTTTATTTATTCATTTTTTAATTGAATCACCACGAATTATAAAGTTATTCGTGATTGATTTTCAGGAATAAAATGTTCCAACACCAATCGATCCTTTTAAGCAGTCTTTTTTTTTTTTAATTTTTATTAGTGAAACACCATGAGGTACAGTTGTAGACTTACAAATTTTTGTGCTTGGGTTTCAGTTATACAAGCAGTCTTAAGCAAGAATAAGAATAAGTGGATAACATAGACATGACTGTAAAAGATGTAAAAATTTAACATAAGCAAAGCCTGGGCATCATATGCTCTGCTTTCAAATTATATTCTAAATATATAATAATAAAATCAGTGTGATAATGCCATAAAATAGATACAAGGATTAATGGAACAGATAGAATACCCAACAATATGCATATGTATCATTTAATTTATGACAAAGGGCAAGAACATGCAGAAAAGTACAATATACAATAAATATTGTTTGGAAAACCGTGACATAATACACAAAAATTAAAAGTAGACTGGGGCCGGAGAGAAACTACTGTGGATAGGGCATTTGTCTGGCATGCAGACAACCAATCTTTGGATTGATTTTTAAGTGTAGAGCCAGGAATAATCCCTGAACACAGTTGGGTGTCACCCCAAAACAAACAAACAAACAAACAAACAGGAAGTAAGCTAATACTTTACACCAAACACAAAAAATTAATTCAAAATAAGATAAATACTTGAGTGTCAGTTTTGGAAGTTCTAAAAGAAAATACAGGGAGTAAATGTCTTGACGTGGACGTTGCTTTCTTGGTTTCTACTTCAACAGCAAAGTCAAAAGGCCCTCCCGTTGATTGTCGATTTGCTCGAGCGGGCCCAGTAACGTCTCCATTGGAGACTTTGTTGTTACTGTGTCTGGCATACCGAATACTCTCGGTAGCTTGCCGGGCTCTCCGAGAGGGGCAGAGGAATCGAACTTGGGTCGGCCATGTTGGCCGCTTGTAAGGCGAACGCCCTACCCGCTGTGCTATCGCTCCAGCCCAGCAAAGTCAAAAATAGAAAATAAATTAAAAAGACTACATTAAATAAGAATCTTCTGCACAATAAAAAACCATTTCAAAATGAGAATACTGTGGGATGAGACATTTGCTAATCAATATCTGACATGAGGTTAGTCTCCAAAATATGTGAAGAACTCATACAAATCATTAGCATTAAGAAATCTGATAAAAAGTTGGCTACCTACTCTGGAAAATGGTTTGGAGGATTCTCAGGAAACTGCAGCTAGAGATTACATGACTCAGTGATTCCACTTCTGAGCGTCTATTCAGGTAGCCCACATATTAATTTGAAAGGACACTTATGCACATTTATGTTAATCACAAAATTATTTATAATAGCCAAGATCAGAAACTAATCCAATGTGTGTGTGTGTGTGTGCGTGTGTGTGTGTGTGCGCGCGCGCGCGTGTGTGTATTCACACAATGGAATACTACTCAACTATCACTTGATGATTCCATTACGCATCGATTTGCTCTAGCGGGCACCAATAAGTCTCCATTCATCCCTGTCACGTGCTACTGCAGCCCAATGGCGTTTGCTCGTTCTAGGAACACAAAGACCCTCAACTATGAAAAAGATAAATTTTGCAGTTTGCTGCACTTTGTATGAAATTGGAGGATGTCCTGCTAAGTGAAGTAAGAAAGTAAAAGATCAATACTGGAAAATCTCTTTCATATGCCAAATACAATGAAACAAAGAAAGGGTTTATACAATCTCCATTGAAAACAATTCCTGAGACATGATCATTAGAACTGGGTACTTCAATGAGAGAAGTGCAGGGCCGGGGGTGGGGGGAGCCTTGAGCCACTAAAGAAGGGTGCTCACTTTCTGCTGCAAGTATCAGTTACTTCCATCACAGTGCAAATGATGGGACCTATATAGAGGCATAGACTGTGGAGATATCTATCACAAATTGAGGTTCAAAACAGATATTCCATCAAGGAACACGTGCAGATGGCTAGCAGGCACATGAAAAGATATTCATCATCACTCATAATCAAGCAGCTATAAATCAAAACCATGAGCTATCACCACGTGCCTGTTAAAATTGCCACTGTCAAGGCAACAAGCTGCAACAAGCACTGGCAAGGATGCAGAGAAAGGGAACCTTTGTCCACTGAGGGTGAAAATGTAAACTGGGGCAGCCACTGTGGAGAGCGGCATGAATATTTTTTTAAAAAAAGTAAAAAATAAAGCCACCCTCTGGTATACAATATGGTGCATTTGTGAGAATGTTCTTACTTCGGTCTATGTGTCTGAAGGAAATGAAAACACAGTAACAAGCAAGACAAACATGGTCCTGAGTTTCCAGAACGTTCTGTTTGTAAAGAACTCAGAAATTTTCATCTGGATGTAGTCTGATAACAGCTTGTGAAACAACGAAAGCAAAGGGAGAGTTAGAGAACTTAGGCTGGACCTAGGGCCGGCTTGTAGGAAGAACAGACATCCATGCTGGGAACTAAAGGACAAGGTGAATAAAGGGTCTCTGTAGGACTTTCCAGGTAGAAGAAATATCTTTCAAATGCATTGAGAGGGAGGGCGCATGTACGTTAGAGCAGCTCAGAATAGCTGAGTACAACTGGGTACAAGCAAAGCAGGAAGGGAAAAGTATCTAGAAATGAGGTGAGGAGCGTGCAGATCCTCAGAGCTCCGCTGGTCAGCTCCAGGGTTTGCCACTGCATCTCGGTGCAGGTAGTAACGGAAAGATTTTCAGCAGGAAAGAAGTGATACAGCAAAGGAGACAGGTTAGGAGGGGCTGAAGTGTTGGTGGGGAAGAGAACAGTGGTTAGAACTATCAGGGTGGGCATTACTTATGAGCAGGAACACACTTTCCCAATCCGTTTAGAGAAACGTTAAGCGTTAGCATTGTGCTTCCTATTTGCAAATCCAGCTTCAGCTCTGCTTCCAAACACTCTCCCACACTTCTTGTCCCCGTTCCCACTCGGAAGCAGGAATGAATCACTGAGCCAGGCAGTGAAAATAAAAAGAGAAGTTCAAAGATACATTTCTTCCGCTTAGTTGGTGGTGATTTGTAAATAGAAGAACTGTAGATCATGACATAGGATTTATATTTTTTACACGTACAGAACTTTATTGGGTGTGCTGAAAAATTATACAATGCCAAAGTGGAACGAATTGACTTTACAAATGATGTGGAAGATACAAGATTTAAAATTAATAGATGGATAGAAGATGAAACACATGGTGAGTGCCATTCTCTGTTTTCCTACAAAATTTGTTGGTGGCGTGTCCATACTGAGAGCTCAAACTTAAAGTTAGGTGTGTTTTATATATGTTATAAACAGCTGTTTCCCATCCAAAGTAACAGTTGCTATTTAAATTGCTTGTTTGCAATGCTCTTTTTAGTAATCTTATAAATTACATATTTTATACACTATGCAGAAAACCCATCTATGGAAAGACCTCATTTGATTGGAAAATGAATTTGTGTGACAAGTGGATTTTATTATAACCATTTTATAAATTAATGAAATACATAATTTATTTAGTTAAACTCCATATCTTATACCTAAGTACTGAACAAAGCTAGAAGACAAATAAAGCAAATTTTTAATGACTATAGCATAATATTTCAGTCTAATATTTATTCCAATATTTTACAGCTTCTTCTTGATCTTAATAATATTATTTAAATTTGGAAAGTCTACCATCTATAAAACGTATTTCCATATCATTACTTCTTATAAAGAATGCAGTTTATCTTTCATTTAAAAATTATTTTTTTTACTAAAATAAAAATATGGCAAAGGGAGTGACTATAAAAAAGTACATATCTTTATTTAGTCTCACAACTAAAAATTGAATTATGATTAAAGCCTAGGTTTAGTATAAAACAAATAAGAATATTTGTTCATGGGTTTTTTTTAATCAAAAATGAGTAATTTCTTTTGCTTCCCATTTTTTAAATAGAATCACCATGGGATACACAGTTAAAAAACTGTTTATGATAGAATTTCAGTCACACAAAGTTCCAACACCAATCTTTTTACCAGTGTACATTTCCAATCATCAATGTCCCCACTTTCCCTCCAGCCCAGCTCCCCTACCCCAGCTTGCCACTAGGACAGACACCTTTCTTCTGTCTGTCTGTCTGTCTGTCTGTCTGTCTGTCTGTCTGTCTGTCTCCTTTTCCCTTTTATCCTCTTCGTTTGAAATACAGTTACTTAAAAAATTTCATACATATCACTTTACCTCATTTTAGTACTCCGTTCTTGTCCATAGTGATCATATCCAACTATCATTATCATAATGGTCCCTTCTCTGTTCTAACTACACCCCCCCACCCCCACCTTGTGGCCACCTTCCTACCATGGACCAGTTCTGGCCTTATTTCTGAAAACTGAGAACTGAGAAACCAGTGGTGGCACAAACTCTCTATTTCCCAGCTCTGATTCATTTGAAAAAAAAAAAGTGCTCAGTACTTAGTGCTGATGTGGTTAATGCAGAATATAGGAAATAATTAGCTTATGAGACAGAACAGAGTTCCATTTTGCTCGTATTGTGGTCTCATCGATGCGATGGGCAGATTGGTGCCTCTTGGCAGGAAGGGGCTCTGAAAATAGTCTTCCTGGGTCAGGATTCTTGTGTGTGACTTTTCTAATCTCCCTGTGCTCTGGCTGCCTGCACATGAAATAGAAGCAATAATAATAATGATGATGATGATGATGATAATAATAATAATAATAATAATGCTCTCTCACAGGAGGTTTGTGAGCACTAAAACTAATATTGCACATAAAGGGCCAAGAAAAGGCTGACACAGTAATTACTCATGGATAATTACTATATCGTCATTATTATTAGGCATATTCTGCAGTGGGATATAAACTCTTATTCCCATGTAACTGGTCTCTGAAGATATTGTCTTAAACCGTGCATTCAAAACTAAGATTTTCTTTTCTCAATTGGCTCCTGAAAGGCAAAATCAAGAACATCTTCTCAGAGGGCAGCATCAGCTCCTCGGCGGTCATGGTGCTGGTGAATGCCGTTTACTTCAAAGGCAAGTGGGAGTCGGCCTTCACCAAGAGAGACACCCTCAACTGCCATTTCAGATCCCCCAAGGTATGGAAGCCCATTGAGTGGAGAGACGTGTGGTTGATTGTGTTCTCGTGTAGAAACTGTTGGTGTTGAGACAGACAAACACTGGACCCCCCATTTCTCTGACTCATTTCTTCCCCTGCTTCCTCAGACGAGATGGTCATTGCTTAGAAGACAGACTTTCTATTTTCTCACTAATGCAGGTAATGGAGCACACGTGGCGGTATCCCATAAGTGGGTATTTCCTAAAGCATATTCAAAGTTACAGTTTGACTTCATTTTGAGGTGGGGACCCATAGGAAGAAAATAGGACAAAAATGTAGTGTGCATTTTGTTATTCTAACTTTGAGTATAGAGTTGGAGTATTTCTTCTTTGTCCTCTTCCTTCTCATGTTCCTTGTCCTTCTGCTTCTTTCTCCTCTTTTCCTCCTTCTACTCCTCCTCTTCCTCCTCCTCCTCCTCTCCTCCTTCTTTTCCTCTTCCATTTCTTCCTCCTCCTCATCTTGTCCTCCTCATCTCTTCCTCCTTCTCCTCCTTTACCCCCTCTCCTTCTCCTTGACCGCCCATTCTCCTCCTCCTCCTCTTCCTCCTCCTCCTCCTCTTCTTCCTCCTCATCCGCCTTTTCTGGCAGACTTGCCTCTAGCAGCCTGCTTGGAGGACATCCAGGTTGGATGTCCCTGACCACAGAGGTGTAGGCGAGCCTGCTAGAGCAAGTCTGTCACCCAGGTGTCTTTGTGAGAATGAGAACAGTGTAGAGCTCGTTTGAAAATTACTATATAAAACAATAGCACAATAAGTCTAATGAAATACAACTGTCTTAGAGATTCTCATATGAAGTCATTGCCATAGGAAGCATATTAAGCAGAATTTTAGTGATGGGCGGGCAGTATTGATGAGAAGTGAGTTTTCATTTCCCCTCTTTCCTTTCAGTCCGTTGACTAGTAGATTGCTTGTGTTGACTCATTTCCATCAAAGAAGACAAAGTGTACCTGTCTCCTGCATTGTTTGCAGTTTTTTTTTTCTTAGCTTCCCAAGAAGGTTTTACTTAGACTAATATTAATATATATCTATTTAAAATAAATTTGCTTATATTATACTCCTTATAATATATAGCTTATATGACAGACTCTAGAATTTGTAGTAGTGATGTCAGTTTAGATTTTAACACTATAAAAATTGTTCAAGTGGCCTCTTTGCTGGAAGGTATGGCCTGACCCTTTCTTCAGCGAAATCCAGCCATATGTTTCTTCTCTTCCAAGTGGGTTGGAAATGGGGTTCCCTAGCCAGGCTGTAGCCACAGTGTTCGCAAGGCTGTGAGAGGAAAGAGGGGCAGATTTGAGAATAGAGATTCAATGGGACTCGACAGGTATGAAATCTCAGCACCCCTTTGCACCAGGTTCAGCGTGTCTGCTCTGTATCATGAAGCAGGTAACTGTCACTGCTCGCCTTGGTCTTTCTGAGTTTTACAACCCAAAATAAAACCTCGGGCAGGGGTGTGGCTTAGTTGTTGAATACTTGCCTTGCATGGGTGAGGCCTTGGGTTTAGTCCCTGCGCTCATTCCAAAGAAAAACAAAGACAATCAGCAAAGACAATCTTTCCAAAGGGACACAGGCCTTTGATCCAAGCACAAGGCAATATTTATTGTCCCTTCTCAATCTTGCCATCCCATTGGGAAATAAAACATAGGGGAAGATGACAATTTTAAGAAAAGAATGTTTTACCTCTCTGGGGTTTCCTGATCTACAAATGGTGTCCTTGAGATACTTGGGAGTATTCTACAAGCTAATTGGATATTTTTAAATATTTGGAAGGATTAAAACAATTTTTATAAGACCTCATTACTGTTATTATTTTACAGTGCTGGGGTAGAAGCCATGGTCTCAGTAATCCAAAACATGTGTCTAACCACTGGACACAATCTGGTGTGCTGGTGTGTGTGTGTGTGTGTGTGTGTGTGTGTGTGTGTGTGTGTGTGTGTTTGTGTGTGTGTTTGTGTGTGTGTATGTGTGAGAAACACCTAATGATGCTCAGGACTTATTCCTACCTATGTACACAGGGATCATTTCTGGCAAATTTCAGGGAATTGCATGTAGTTCCAGGGGTAGAAGCAAGGTCAGCTGCATGCAAAGCAAATGCCTTAACCCTTATACTATCTTTGTCGCTCATGGAAAATATTTTACTGATGATGGAAGAAAACTATACTATTCACTTCTTATTATAATAGTATTTAATAATTATTAATTACTTTCTATGTAGACTTTTAAAGTGTATTACTACAAATAAGTCGGTATATTAACTCAGCTCATCCTTACAAGAATCCTGGTCGGTAAGGGTTCCTCTTACACATATATGTGAAGGAAGAAATAGAGGTATAGACAGTGAAGTAATTTGCTCAAAGTCACCAGTGGGGGACCTTTAACATGGGCAATTACAATCAAAGTCTGCTTTTGTAGCACTAAGATGTATAGTAATTAGACTCCTTCAAAACATGTGAGGAAAAACCTACTGGGTCAAGTGAAAAAAGCAGAAACACTGTTTTGACTATATGTAGTAAAGAAATGAAATAAATTTGGCTTCTCAGGAAACCCTTTTTGACTTGACTTCCAGTGTCCTAGGAAAGCAGTGTCCATGATGCATCAAGAACAGAAGTTCAATATGTCTGTCATTAATGACCCGTCCATGCAGGTGCTTGAACTCAGATATCATGGTGGAATAAGCATGTACATCATGCTACCTGAGAACGACCTTGCCCAAGTAAGTGTCTCTTGCCACTTTCTCTATGAGGGAAGACTTTCAGGATTGGGTTTGTGTGTGTGTGTGTGTGTGTGTGTGTGTGTGTGTGTTTCTTCCATCAAGTGATGAGTAAGAGCATTGATTTGGATTCAAGCTCCCAGACAGTGTGGATGGTTTATGCTGCATTATGATATTGATCACCAAAGCCCACAAGTCTAAAACTTTGAGGTTCTTGTCTGGTTCATATGAGCTTTCCATTGGTTTGTCCCTGTAAGCGGTGAAAACAGTCCTTTTCAATGTCTTTTGAGATGAAAAAGTAGTCAGGAAACACAGACTTCAGTAACTCTTAGCACCTCTAATACTGTTTATGCATTTATTCCTTCACCTGTCCATAATGGAACTTGTACTACAAATGTTCATATATGGGGGGGGGGGGAGAAATACCCTCAGATACAAGTTAGTCGGGCATCGGTATAGCAGAGAGAATTAGCCATGTGGCTGAACTATTGCTTTATTTTAATGATTTCCCCTCTAGCACCCAGAACCATTCTCATATTTCATACAAAAACCTGGGAGAGGACAATTATGGAAAAGCCATCTATCTTAGTGATGACTGTTTCATCTGTTTCTTAATCATGTGGTTCAAATTTTCACTTTAAATATTCCGGCAGATTGAAAATAAATTGAACTTCCAGAACCTAATGGACTGGACCAATCCAAGAAAAATGAAGGCACAGTATGTGGAGGTGTTTCTCCCTCAGTTCAAGATTGAGAAGAATTATGAAGTCAAAGACCATTTAAGAGCTCTAGGGCTGAAGGATATTTTTGATGAGTCCAGAGCTGACCTGTCTGGCATAGCTTCAGGAGGCCGCCTGTACATGTCAAAACTGATGCACAAATCCTTCATAGAGGTCACCGAGGAGGGCACAGAGGCAGCTGCTGCCACTGGAAACAACATCGTTGAGAAGCAGCTCCCTGAGTCCACGGTGTTCAGAGCTGACCACCCATTCCTGTTTTTCATCAGAAAGGATGACATTATCTTATTTAGTGGCAAAGTTTCCTGTCCTTGAAAATCCCGTTGGTTTCTATTTCACCAGTCTTTTCACAGCCCAGGAACCTGCACAACGCATAGAATAGAGTTTAACTGAAAGCACGTGAGGTTGCCTTTCCATGTACTTCCTTCTCACACTGGTCGGCAAATGGTTTTGGTGACTTGACCCTTCTCAGACAAGTTGGTTGATTGTTCTAATTCCTGCTCTTGGTATTTCTTCCACCAATGCCTCTCTTGTTTCTAATTTCATTATTTATCTAGCCTCTATCATGCCTATCCATCTCCCCCACAGGCACTTGCACAGATCTGAGTATCATATCTGCAATTTTGGGGTGCTCCCTCAGGAATGGAATGTGAAACCAGCCCAGAGGGGCTTCTCTGCAGTTATATATATTCTAGTCTCACTGTAATCAAGCTAGGAAGTAAGACCAGTTGCTAGACGTAAGTGTGAAGGATAAATTTTCCTAGCTGACCACAGAAGTTTTTTTAAAAATTAACCTGTCAGATTCCAAATCAGATATTAGATATTAGAAATGTGGACTTTGAATTGGGAAACGACCAAATATTGCATGAATAATTTCAAGTTTATGTCTAATGGGTTTCCTTAATAAAGACTTGATATGTACATAGTTTTCAAATGTTAAATGTCTTTTAACTGTTACCAGTTGTTATTAAAAGTATACTGTTTTAGATGCTGTGTAGTTTACAAGTTATTTTCTCTATTTATCAGAATAAAGAAATACAATATACTATATGATGTGATTTTTCTCCTCTTATCAATTTGTTACTTGAGCGGGCCCAGTAACGTCTCCATTGGAGACTTTGTTGTTACTGTGTCTGGCATATCGAATACTCTCGGTAGCTTGCTGGGCTCTCCGAGAGGGGCGGAGGAATCGAACTCGGGTCGGCCATGTTGGCTGCGTGCAAGGCAGACGCCCTACCCGCTGTGCTATCACTCCAGCCATTTGCCATCACTTTATTTTCTAGGCCAACAGACAAGTGATACCTAGAAAATTCCTTTTAAACATAAATCTGGTTTACTTCAATGGTAATAACTTATCTTTCATAAAGGTCATTTTTACAGATACTTACGATACTTACATAGACTGATGTACTCATTTTAAATACTAGCATTTAAATTTATAAGAACAGAGTATATAAACATATACCCATATTTTCATATAGAAATATAAACCAAAAGTACCTTTATGAATCAAATAGAAACTTAGTAGACCATGCTGATTTACTTAGGAATTTATGAACAGCAGTGAACTTAAATTTTTATCTCAGAAGATATTTTACCTAAACAGGAACTAGATAATCCAAGAATGAACTGTATCATGTAATATTTAGTACTAAACCTGCAAGATACTTTATTTTCAACAATCATTTTGAAATTCATGAATATGACAAGAATGAATTAATGTGGCATATTTAAATGATGTAGAAAATCCTCTGTCCAAAACAATTTGATTAACCTCCTTCACAGGAAATAACTGTCATGTCTTTCGGAGACCTTTATGTGATGTGAAATTAACTTGTATCTTGTGGTACATTTTGGGAGAGTAACATATTTTTCTGGTTAATCGTATTCCTACTTATTTCATTCAAAAATAGTATTCCCCCAAGACCTTGTCCTTATGTGGTATAGGTACAGAATTGAATCTTATCATAAAATCTTATGGTGCCCTGTAGTTTAATGACTTGAACTTGTGGTAAGGGAGGAGGTCATGCAAAGAGGTGTTGCATTGTCTAGTTATTATCTAGGCTCATTTTGATGGAAATTCCACAGTTCCTGCTGAACATGTGGCAGTCGTGAAGCATTGAAACATTCTGTTGAGTATTGTCAACTATGCACAGGTTCTAAGATAGCGAGAGTATAGCTGGTCAACCTCATGGAACATCCATGTCTGATATAGTTATGTATCTCCACGCCCTTTCAGTAATATTTAACATAGTGATCTCTCATATTTATTCAGAATTGATAGAGTCCTTAGTCTTGAGGACCTACTTTGGGATGGACACAAGACTTTGGGGTCTATTTCAGTATAAGACCAAGTCATTGGTCTCATAATGTTTATTTATATTCAAGGGTAATTTTTTTATATTGTAGGTTCTTGTCTTTTCAATATGATTTTTTAACTGCTAGTGCTTACAAAACTTTATTTTTCCTTCATACTCAAAAATCATCTGTCTATGAACCCATCTGATCCCAAATCTATAATAATAGATGATGTGTCACACAAATTCAGAAAAGCCCCCAGAACACATCTGATGATGTTCGGGTGTAAAATTAAACCAAGTAGCTAAAGTACATCATGAATCAGTTAAACTTTCTAGGGCACCCATAGTTTTAGGGGCACTCTCAGAGATACTTGTCCTGGTATCTTATGGCTTAGTGCTTAGACCTGGCAATGCTCAGGCAATGCCAAACCCTGCAGTGTGAGGAATTGCAGCTAGAGCTTCGAATAATCCAAGCATTTGCCTTATAACTTGACTCAGATCTTTGGACTCATTTGGCACACATAAGGATAAATAATGTCTTGGACTTTAGGCTCATGGTTTGGTACATATTTCTTCTTTTACACATTGGAATTGTGTATTGGTATATTGAACAGTATCTTGAACCTCTCTCCTTTGCTTCTTTTCCATCAGAATAATTCTAATTTAGTTTGTTTAATTTTTTGTAGTGCTCTGCCTATCTGCCTCTTGGTACTTTTATTTTCCTCTCTGAAGTCTATGAAAATAATTTTTGTTTTATCTACAAAGGCCAGTTATCTTCCTAAGACAGAGAAAACACTGAGTAATCCTATTAAACACAGATAACATTTACCCACCAGAGACAGAATCTAAACTCCAGAGCACAGCAATGTGTTTGGCAAGCTTACTTTATCATCCTTTCTCCTTTGGTTGGCCTCTTTCTGTCAACAAAACCATCTCCATTCAACACTCTTAATTCAACTGTACTAATTGAAACCAATTTAGTTCCATGTGTTACTTTGCATTCCCCTTCCAGAAAATACTGTCACCCCATCTTTGTCTGATACCCTTTCAATAGTTTTAGTGCCTGGTCATAAGCTTCTTCTTAGTGAAGGTCTCCACTCACTGGACTTACCATCACAATCGACCTCCTCTGATGAGAGTGAAGCCCAAATTTCTAGCTTCATTTTGTTTGTGTGTGCAGATGGGTATTCATGTGACTGATTAGATGATACTTTTTTTTCTTTTTGGGTCACACCCAGCAATGCACAGGGGTTACTCCTGGTTCATGCACTCAGGAATTACTCCTGGTCGTGCTCGGGGGACCATATGGGATGCTGGGAATCGAACCCGGGTTGGGCCGTGTGCAAGGCAAACACCCTATCTGTTGTGCTATCACTCCAGTCCCTAGGTGATACATTTTTTAAGGATGTGATCTACATGTGGTGTATATACCTTGCTTATTTAAAATGAACACACTCCCTCAATGTCCTAAGAAATGTCATACCGAGCATTTTCAAGCAGATAGGGACTGTCAGGTGCCTTTCTGTATCAGCACTCCCTGATTCATGCTGTTCCTTGAGAATTTCCTGTGTTCTTCTTCTTGTATGTCAAGTCTGTATTAGGGGCAAGACCTCTAAACTGAGCTTACAGCATTACTGCACCATCTAACTTTAAGGGGACGGGATAGCTATCTCTTTTCTTTTGATGAGAAGGAGCAATTGCATCTTCACTACCACCTTCTTCATAAATGACACAGCCTTATCATCTAGCACGTGTTGTCAGAGATCTAATCTTCGTCTTCAACCTCAAAAAGAACATTAACATTCAGAGAAGTTTGGGAGTTGTCTAAGAGCATGTGTGCTCTCTCCATCCTAACACACTTCCTTGAACTCCCTAATGAACTTCTGTGGCACCAGGTTTTTCCCAGAGTACTTTCAACTCAACCTTCAACACATCATAGGGCTTACTATTCCGACATGAATCCTGAAGAACAATTAATGTCTTTGGTGACTCCAAGTGTTTCGGGAATACCACACCTCCTATAAATTTGGGCTGATTCATAATTACATGGCTACATGTTCTTCTGTTTGGATCATTTATACTTACTGGCATGCTATTTGTCTGGATACTATTCCTCCTAATAATATCTTTTCAGAGAATATATGACGATGACAATCATGATGGTAATCTCTTCTAATAATAAAATCTCTAGGTACAAGCTTGGAAGAGATGGTTATCTTCTACCCCCTGGTATTCCTCTCTATCACTTTTTATTCCCCTTCACTGATTGTTAGTTTACTGATCAAAATAGCAACATAAATATTTTTAATCACCTGGACATCTTTGAAACTAATGTTCATTTCTATCCTTATACAAAAATCTAGAATGTATAAAGATCTGTGATAGAGCAGCATTCATGAGATTATCTACTCTGATGATTCCAGAGCACCTCCAAGAAGAGAATGTCATAGTGAGTTTTCCCACAAAGGTTGGCTACTGGCTGGTTCTCAGAAATTAGTGCAAGAGATGATCCTATGAGATTTCTTTCTTCTTTCTCTTCCTTATCATGACATGATGACCAAAACAAGCACATCACTGTCCTCAAGACATCTGAGTCCTGTAATGAGATGAGGCTTATTTTCCACAAACAATGAGCTTGTTAATGACTTCCCTTTCTTTAAAAATTTTTTATTAGTGAATCACTGTGAGGTACAGTTACAAACTTACGAACTTTCATATTTCAGTCATACAATAATCGTTTACCCACCCCTCCACTGGTGCCCATTATCCTCCACCAATTTTCCCAATATCCTTTCCACCACCACCACCCAATCCACCACCCACCCCACCCCGCCTCTGTGGCAGGGCATTCCCTTTTGTTCTTTCTTCTTTTGGGTGTTCTAGTTTGCAATAGAGGTATTGAGTGTCCATCGTGTTCGGTTTATAGTCTACTTTTGGCACGCATCTTTCAACCTGAATGGATCCTCCCAACATCCTTTACTTGGTGTTCCCTTCTCTATCTGAGCTACCTCTTCCCCCAGCTTGTGAGACTGGTTTCCAAGCCATGGAGTGGACCAGGAGTCCTTATCTCTACTACCCCTGGGAGTTAATCTCCCATTCTGTTACTTTATATTCCACAGATGAGTGCAATCTTTCTATGCCTGTCCCCTCTTTCTGACTCATTTCATTTACCAAGATACTTTCCATCTTTATCCACTTATATGCAAATTTCATACCTTCATCTTTTCTAGCAGCTGCATAGTATTCCATTGTGTAGATGTACCAAAGTTTCTTTAACCAGAATGACTTTTTAAAAATTTTTTTATTAGTGAAACACCATGAGATACAGTTGTATATTTATATATTTTTTTGTGCTTTGGTTTTGATTATACAATGATCAAATACCCATCCCTCCACCAGTGCCCATTTTCCACCACCATGGATAATATCCCTCCCACCCCCATCCCCCCCATCCCACCCTGCCTCTGTGGCAGGGCATTCCCTTTTGTTCTCTCTCTCCTTTTGGGTGTTGTGGTCTGCAAAAGAGGCATTGAGTGGCAAACATGTTCAGTCCATAGTCTACTTTCAACATGCATTTCTCCTCCTGGGAGGATCCTCCAAACACCCTTTATTTGGTGCTCCCTTCTCTATCTGAACAGCCCTTTCCTCTAGGATACCCGGCTGGCCTCTAAGTTATGGAGTAATCCTCCTGGTGCTGATCTCAGCTGACTTTTCTTTTTTAAGTAAAGCAAAAATAAAAACTTTCATTGTTTTCATTGTATCAGGAAGGCAATAAATACATTCAGGGTAGAAAGGAAGTACAGAAGAAAAAAGGGACAGAAATGCTTTATAGAGTTTTGAATCACATCTAGTGATGCCTGGGATCACTCCTGGTAGTGCTCGGAGGGCCATTTGGGATGCCGAGGATCGAAAACCAGATCAGACACATGAAAGGCAAGCACTGACCCACTGCACTATATCTCCACCCCCAAATCCATTTTAAATGTGAATTTCTTTCCAACTGGGCCTCTTCTAATTGGCTTGTGGGTGACGGAGTCTGCCTAGGCTGGAAGGAATCATCGTAATTTTCACAAGCTGTGGCTACCTGGTCAGTTTCTCGGAGCAGAACAGAGATACTTTAGAGGAGTGCAACAGGGACTTCCTGCTGTAGTTCACACCTGGAGGAATAGTGGAGTTAGGATAATGGGGGAAAGAGGGGAGAAGATTCTAGTAGATATAGCAGGCTGTTCCAAATCCTGGAGGTGAGAGATCTTGGCCTCCTCTGGAAGCTGCCAGAGCTACTCCAGGCTGTAAAACAAGGTCAGAGCAGTGGGAACGTGGATGAACAGATCTCACATGATACTGGACGGGAGCAGTTTGGCCTTGAACTAAGCCTTGGGCACAGCACGGGAGAGTTATTCTTTCAAGTTTGTGTTTGTAAGGTTATGTTTGCTGAGGCAGGGCTAGAGTGACAATGCTAGGTTAGGAAAACAATGCCGTGAACAGGTTTGCTTGATGATGCAGCACGGAAGTGAGGGTGACCTGGAGCAGGATTAAGGTGTGGAACAGACAGAGAGATGAGTGAAGTTGACAGATTTAGGTGGTGGTCTCACAGGTCAAAGCTTCGTGATGGAATAAATGTGAGGGTGGAAGAGGAGGACTTCTCAAGCTTCAGCTAGCTGCCTTTAGACGGTAGTAGCAGCAGCAGCCTGAGAAGAGAGGGAAGGGAGGGCTGAGTTTCAGGGCAGGGGTAGAGCCAGTGGAAAATCTCCTTGCAATAAGGCACTAGGTGCTGAAATAAAGCAATCAGATTTTGGAGTATCAAAGCAGGCACGTATACTCAAAGTTGCAGATAAAGGTTTACAAAGTTCAAAGATCTTCTGGAAACCTGCCCCAAAATCTACTACATTAAAAGTTCTTGTTATCAAAAGGAGAGAGAGAACACAGGGGATTGCCCTGCCACAGAGGCAGGGGGAGATGGGGGTATGGGGGTGGGGGGATATTATCCATGGTGGTGGAAAATGGGCACTGGTGGAGGGATGGGTATCTGATCATTGTATAATCGAAACCCAAGCACAAAAAATTGTAAATCTACAACTGTAAAAAAAAAAAAAAGAAAGAAACAAAAAAAAAAGTTCTTGTTATCTACACCTAAGGAAATGACAGCAACCAGGATGGAAGCCATAAGCATAGCACAGAGCTGACCGAGATCGCTCAGGTAGCTGCCAGTTTATCTCCCCTTCCATGCTGCATTGGCCACACACCTTGGCCTTCCGTACTGAACTGTCGCGAGGAGACCCTGGCTACCCCAATCACATTAGGCCAATAACCCATTAGCCTATTCCAATCAACATATCCCCCTGTAGCACTCTACAACTCTCCTCCTGTTGTTCATCGATTTGCTCTAGTGGGCACCAGTAATGTCTCCATTGTGAGACTTGTTGTTACTGTGTTTGGCATATCGAATATGCCACGGGGAGCTTGCCAGGCTCTGCGTGCAGGTGGGTTACTGTCGGTAGCTTGCGGGTTCTCTGAGAGGGGCGGAGGAATCGAACCCCAGTCGGCCGCATGCAAGGCAAATGCCCTACCCACTGTGCTATGGCTCCAGCCCAGCATATCCCCCAAACTCACATAAATAGCAGTGAACACAGGAATCAATACAACCCCAATCTAAAAGTAACAGGAAGTTCAGGCCAAAGAACATGTTCCCTGAATCAGTGCAAGAGGCCCCACACAAGTCACACAGGAGCATCAAGGAGGGAGGTAATGAGGGAAGGGGAAAGAGGAGACCACAGTCTACCAAATGCTTTCACAGTCCTCCCTGGCAGTCAGAGGATTCGCCGATCAATGTACTGGAAAGATCCACCTCCAGACTACCATGGCATGGAGACTGCACAGATCCTCTCCATGAGGAATGGGTGAAGAAAAGAGCCCTGAACTCTCAACAAAGAATATCCACATATATAATCTTTCTGATAAAGAATTTGGAGATGAAATGGTGAGGATGTTTAATGAGCTCAGAGAAAAAGTGAAACAGACATCCAATAAATTACAAGAGAATATGAAAGAAACAGAGGACTGAACAGTCAATAAAATACAGCAGGAAATGACAGCAGATATAAGAAAACTAAAAACAGAAGTGTCATTAATAAAAATTTTGGTAGATGTAATGAAAAGTCAGTGGGTGCCCACAACAGTAGAATGACAACTGCCAAAGACAGAATCAGTGAGTTTAAAGATGAGCTGCAGAAATCATTCAGACAATAGCAGAAGATGAAAAAAAACAGACCTTAAAATAGTTCAAGGGCAGGTCAGAGATGTAAAGGGATTAATTCAAGAGGAACAACATAAGAATCATCGGAGTACTAGAGGGAGAGGGAGGCAACCCCAATGAGGTAGTAATAGTTAAAGACATCATTGCTGAAAAGTACCCAGAACTGCAGAAGGCAGGCATCCAGATCCAAGAGGCCCGAAGGGCACAGCTAAAAGAGACCCTAATAAAAAGACTCCCAGACATATCTTAATCAGAATGATGAATGTCATAGGTAGAATCACAATACTGCAAGCACGAAGATCAAAGGAGGAAATTACATACAAAGGAATATCCCTTAGATTTACAGCAGACATCAGATGAAACCCTCTGGGTCCAAAGGCAATGGTGGGATATAATGAAAAAACTCAATGAAATCAATCCCTCACCAAGAATACTTTACCCGGCTAGACTCTCATTCAGATATGCAGAAATGATGCATAGCTTCATGGATAAACAACAACTCAGGAACTTCATAGACTCAAAACCAACTTTAAAAAAAGGTAAAGGGGCTACTGTAAGGCAAGACAAACCCCACAAACACAACAAACTACAGAAAGATGGCACAAAACCCCATGACAGTAATCTCTCTCAATGTTAATGGTCTAAACTCACAATTACAAGACACAGAGTGGCAAAATAGATTAAAAAAAACTGAATCCAACATTCTGCTGCCTACAAGAAACACATCTGAACAGACAGAGCAAACACAGAGCCAGCCAAGAACAAACACAATGAACCAGTAAACAGGGAAATTTCTTCTGAACTAGGGTGCCGAGGTGACCGTGACCATACAGAGTGATCTATCCATTCAAACATTCAGGACAATAGTCTGGGAGACACACCTTCACCCCTAGCTATTCGCCTTTGAAAAGAGACTTTATGGACAAGAGAAACCGGTAAATGTTCTTTGTTAATAGAGTGTTTAAGGGTAATCATAGCACAGAAGTCTCTGAGCACGCCCAGCCATCGGGAGGAAATATCCCCTTGTTCTATGAATTGCTGTCTGTGCATTCTGAACTGTTCCTTGGGTCTCAGGGGGAACAGCACTTACATATGACATCAGTGAAGTCACTGAAATGTGAGACTCCACTTCTCTTTTGCCCTAGTCCTCCTTGCACCTTGAATATTCTGGTGCTATATTGTTCTCTTTCAGAATTAGAGTCCAAAGTGCTCGGTGAGTATCCTTTCTATGTTTGTCGTGAAATATGCTTGACATTGTCCTCGACAAATTTTATCCCATTCCTGGATGCCTCAAGGACAGAGAATAGAGCATTTCCTTCACTGTGTCTCATCTCAGGAGTCAGGGAAAGAAAATAGTTCCTGAGACAAAATGCCTCCTCTTGGAGCTGGGAAGATGGCTCACGTGCGAGAGGGAGCACATGCCTGGTGTGTTCAAGGTCCCGAGTTCAATCCCTGCACCACACAGTCCTTCCACATACCCCCCCCCCCCCCCACATACACACAAATAGAAACTGTGGAGCACCCACTCATCCATCAGGACCAGCACTGCAGTGTTTGTTCTCTATTTTAAAAGTATTGCAATCTGGGAGATAGTCAGGGGATAAGATACTTACCTTGCTCACAGTCAACCCATTGGATCCCTGATTCCTATGGTTCTTGGAGCACTGCCAGGAGAGATCTCTGAGTAGAATCAGGAGTATCCTATATCTATACAGACAAGTGTGGCCCAAACACCAGGAACTCAAACCAACACCAACCTTTAAAATCTTCATTTTAGCTGGCATTTAAACACCAATGATTTGTGGTCCTAGCAAGATGGGTGTGTGTAGTGCATACTCTATTATATTTTATTTTAAAAAGTCTAATACATTTTATAAGCATAAGGGTACACTTAATTATATAAAAATTATATAAAAATCAATGGCCCCAAAATGCTTTGTTTCCTCTCTTCTTTATCTCTTGGGTCATGTGATGACCTAGATGTGTTAATGATGTGTACGTTATATGTCAGTTTGCTCACTCTCAGCTTCCGTGTATAAATACTTTAACTCACTTCTCAGTGTGAGGGAAAAGGACTTGTGCAATCAATGTCTGCGGAGACAGGAGGAGCTTCTGTGGGTGCTGAGAACTGAGTGTGAAGGAGTATTACGGACAGCTCTGGGCTCACCACACGGGACTTTGGCCAACCACAAGACAAGGTAAAAATGCAAAGCACTGAACTGCCCTTTCTTTGGCATGCTTTTTTAAATAATTGGTGATGACCTTTCTTGGAGGAGAAAATATTGCATAGCCCTCCCAGGAGTAAAATAGTGAGAGGGGCAATATTTGGGAATAGTGGCAGAAAGGCACACATTTCAAACAAGATAATGTCCTTTTTAGTAATTTGTGATCATTCAGCAGTCTGTAGTGTTTGAGGTGAGGAATTTAATGACAGACAGGTTGAAGGTGAACTCTGTTAAGCAGTTAGTGATATACAAAGGAGAAGCAGGCTATTTGATTCCACAATTGAGATCATCCTTTTCTAGATCATGTCACTTGAAATGGAGAGTCAGCTGCTGGATGGGGAATCAGGAATCGGAGTTTTTATTCTTTATTGGGTGATTTCTAAATCAGTAGAAGTAAGTAAATTATATAATCCCTGTAGACTCATTTCAACGTCCCCATTGATAGGTTTAATTTTGGGACCTAATACTTTCCCAAATATATGTCTCTTTATTGAGTTAAATCCATATTCTTCTGAAGGACCAGAGAGATAATTAAAAAGGATATATCTGTTATTAGAGACTTCGTATTCAATTCCCATATCAAATACTGCATTAGCCTTCTCAGGTATCTCTTTCTATTCCTATTTCTAAACACAGGAACTTACAAATTTATATGATAAATACAGACTCAGAAGACAAATAAATCTAATACTCTAATGCTTGCATAGCCAAAGGCAAAGTTTATATTAGAACTCATCTGAATTATAACTTCTTTTCCTTTTAACTAGTACAAAACATCTATGTAAAATTTTAGAGTCTTATTCGTTATATAAAATTTTAATTGCATGTCTTTTTCTACAGAAAAAATACATACTTATCTTAAAAAATAAGGTATAGAGGCTGGAGTGATAGTACAGTGGGGCAGGGCATTTGTCTTGCATTCAGCCAACCAGGTTCAATCTCCGGCATTCCATATGGTCCTCCAAGCACCACAAAAGTAATTCCACAGTGCAGAGCCAGTAGTAACCCCTGAGAATCTCTGGGTGTGACCCTAAAAGCCGATATATATATATATGTGTGTGTGTGTGTATACACACACATATATATACATATACATATATAGGTGTGTATGTATGTATGTATGTGTGTGAGTGTATGTATGTATAAACATATAATGGTAGCCAATGCTACACAAACAAAAATATTAAAATGAGTCAATATTTAAAGATATATCCAGGGCTAAATCTGGTTCAATGCAAGAGATTTTAATACAATTTAGGGTACAAAATATCTCTCATGGAGATTTTGTCCATGCTTTGGGAATCTGTATGGAGGGCGTTGAATGAACAGCTCTTCAATGAGTCCAAATGTGTCAAGGGTATCATTTCCTCTGAATATTATTACAAAATAGGGTTTATTTGGTTTTATTAAATATCTATTTTTATCAACACATGTTTGATAACTTATTTAGTAAAGCTTTAGGAAGAATTGAAATTCGATTCCAAAGCTCTGTGTTGTAGGAAGACTCAAGGCTGGACGCTTCTATATGTTTCTTCACCAGAGAAAACATGTTTCTTGGATTTTTTTTGGACCCAGCTTGAACGGCCTGATACTGTCAGAGGATGTTTGCTGATTTTAGGGTAGTCTTGTGAGCTGCCTGGGCTCAGTTTCCTGAATAGTTGAATTGAGGATTAGAGAAATTTGTCTCACAAACGTTGAAAAAATAGATCCAGGTCCTCAAATCTATGTAAAGTTTTTGGTGAACTTGATTTTTTCACACTCCCTTTCACAACCCTCCCACCTCCACACTAATTTCCATATCTGGGATATGTCAGGTGATAGGCAATAGACAAGTACTGTCTAAGAGGTAAGATTTATGGCCCCTGTGAAATGTCCACTCACCTAGCCCTTTACTGCAACTGGCTCTTCTCTGTACAGGAATTCTCAAAGCTATTTTTGTAGCACCACACCTCTAGGCTTGGAAGAAGTGCTGCTGGGCTCTGGATTTTGGCAAGACATTATACAAATTAAATACTTTAGATGAAAGTACTATGGTTATTCTATGTATATTCTCTCCCCAAACCAGCAGCTTCAAGGTCTCTTTTGGTTTGTTTTGAAAACCTTACCATGGTGAGTGTACCCTCCCCCTTCTAAAATAGGCAGGTCGGTCACACATTTTTCTAGGAAGCTGATTTTCCTGAGTCTGAGATGTAACAGTTTCGTCACAAAGCAGTTGCATGGAAAATCACTGTACTCTCAATATCTTTTGGAAGCTCTTTACCGTACTTGAAGTGCAACCTCGAATACCAGTAGAGCCACCAGAAATCTAGTTTTACAGTCTGATGTCTCCCAAACCCTGACTCAGTAACGCAAACTGAGCCAGGTTAGAGTTAGGAAAGCAAGCTTCTCAAGGGTGCAACACATACTTCAGGAGACATTATTGCACCTGGGTACTAACTAGGTTCTTCATTTTACTCTATGGATAGCTGTATCATTCTTTTTTAAAACTTAGAAAAAGATTGAGATTTTTTGGTTTATAATAATGTTAATAGTGGTTTATCATGCACATACTTCCAACACTACATCCATCAGCCATGTACCCACCCCCCACCCTCAAGCAAGCACTCCAATGCGTCTACCTGTTAACCCTTCCCACCAACTCAGTTGTGTGGATTAGTTCTGTTATGTTTCCTCTGGACTTCTGTTGCTACCTTGTTGTGTATCTTTAATCCCAAAGAGAGAGATTATGATGCATCTACACCTTTCCTTATAGATTTATTCAGCATGATATTTTCTAGTTCCATCCATGTGACTGAAAATTGCATAATTTTGTTCTTTCTTAGAACTGCTTCATAATCCATTATATATATATCATCACAACTTCTTGATATTCATCTGTACTTGGGCATTTAATTTTTTTCCATAGTTTGGCTATTGGACAAATGCAGCGATGAACATGGGTTTGGATACATCCTTTTAATTGAATGTTTCTGTGTTTTGGTGATAGAGTTGGATCATTCTTGGCGATAGAGTTGGATCATTCCCCTAAGAGCCATTCAGTCTTAGGGGATCCCACCTATGGGATAAAACATTTTAGTGAGTCTTTAAGGGCTGGAGTGATAGCACAGTGGGTAGGGCATTTGCCTTGCTTGCAAGTGGCCAACATTGCTGAGCCGAGTTTGAATCCTCCACCCCTCTCAGAGAGTCCATCAAGCTACCAAGAGTATCTCGCCTGCATGGCAAAGCCTGGCAAGCTCCCCTTGATGTATTCGATATGCCAAACACAGTAACAATTGTCACAGTGGAGATGTTACTGGGCCTGCTTGAGCAAATCGATGAACAATGGGAGGATGTGACAGTGACAGTGAGTCTTTATATTTTGCATCCTGAGCCTGCCAAATCCCAATCCCTGGGGTCATAGAATTCACAGAATCTTTTCAAAATAATAAATCACCTAATGTCAATATAGCATCTCCCCAAATACTAGTTTTGAGGTGGGGGAACCGTATTAACCAGAAAGAGATGCAGAGCAAGGTTACATAATATTTGGGGTATACTAACCACCAATCATCAAGTCAAAGAAGAAATGCTGAAGCTGACTCAACTATCCCCTGTCTTCACACCTCCAGGCAGTGCTGGAGGAATGGACTCACTCATTGCCGCAAATGCACAATTCTGCTTTGACGTCTTTAGAGAGATGAACCAGGACCACACAATGGAGAATCTCTTCCTTGCACCCCTAAGTCTCCTCTCCACCCTGGCAGTGATCCTCCTTGGGGCCAGAGGTGACAGTGCCTCTCAGATGGAAAAGGTACGTTACAAAGGCACGTCCAGCCATGTCTAAAAGACCAGGGGTTCCCAACTCCGTCTTGGTATGGAGAGTTCACAGCCACCCGACTCTGTTACCTACCATATTGCTTTCTCAAAAAAAGATGTGAAGGGTCAGATCTTTTCATTACTGTCTTCAGAGGGGTAAGGAAGAAGATGGTTGCATATTTTAAACAGGACACATTCAATATGGCCCGCCTGGCCCAGGGCAGGAGCTCCCACCTCCAGCCCTACTTTTGTTCTCCAGAATTTTCCAGGACCTCTTGCTTTAAGTCAGCAACCCCCCAATTTTTCTGAATGTCAGACTTTCTTTCTTTTGCATTGGGGCCACACCCTGTGATGTTCAGGGATTACCCCGGCTCTGCACTCAGGAATCACTCCCAGCAGTGCAGGGTGAGGATCATATGAACTGGCAGAGATCAAACTTGGGGTGGGCACATGCAAGGCAAGTGCCTTATCTGCTGTACTATCTCTCTGCGTCCCCCAATTCCAGACCCTTTAATAATCTCCTAGAGGAGAATCCCTCACTAAGATTCTGCTTCTGGTACCTACCCTTGACCACATATGCTCCAAGGTCAATCATGGAACAAAAGTTTTTCTTGAAAACAGGAAGATGTTTATTTGTTCCAGCAAATTGAAACAAAGGAAAGGGAGAGATCTCACATTTCAGCCTGTCCACTGTGTGGAGGGAAGTATTTATGCTGGAGAAAAGGAAAAGCAGATGAGTTATTGATCAACTTGGGCATCCAAGAGTGGGAATTGGTAGTAGTTAGTCATAGTCACAGGATTTGATTTCTCCAAACTTTGCCACGTCTTGAAAGTTGTTGATCCTACATTTTCTCTTCTGTCACACAACCATTTCCTAAGAACGAACTGAAAATGAACTCAAAAGGCCACAGAGATAGTACAGTGGGTAGGGATCTGGCCTTGTACGTGGTCAACCCATATGGTCCTCTGAGCTGACCGTGAGTGAACCCTGAGCACAGAGCCAGGAGTAAGCACTGAGCACCTTCAAGTGTGGTCCCCCAAAAAAACAAAATAAAAGAGGAGGAGGAACCACAGTTCAATTTTACTTGGTTTCTGCTGTCAGGATAGGGAAACACATTCCAGAAAAATGGTGATGATGATTTCACCATTCACAAGGGAAAACAGGGCAATAGAAACTACAGGGACTTCGGATGGTCTAACATTTTCCCAAACAGAACTCTTAGTTAAGGGAGCTAAAAGTAATCTGTTGTAAGATGCAGTCAGACGACTTGGGTCAGGTAACATGATAGAAGAAGCATTCTGGATCATGCCAAGTTAAGTCTGACAATAAGCAAATGCCCAGTTCCTTCAGCGACCTGCATTTGGGAAGCTTTGGGAAATGGTTTTTGACTCAGTGATTGTTGCTTAAATAGACAAACAATTATCAAGCACGTAGGAATATTTTGGGAGGATTTGTAATCTGTGTAATTGCACTTCTGAGATCACAAGGGCTTTTACTCAATCAATAATTGTGGTGTCTGGAAGAAATGTTTCTTAGTAGGACTTTTTCAGCCTGCCTTAAGCCTCTGCTTATTGCAAGGGAAATGATGAGCTAGTGAAGCACTTTTTCCCCGGGGTAGTACTGGGGAGGAAATCAATTTGAAAATGCTGAAGTCAAATTTGAAATGCTGAAATCAAATTCTGAATGTACTGGTAGACTTTTCTACCTCAACTTGCCTTTTTGGGTAGAACACTAGTAATTTTGAAGGAGTAAGCTTCACAGAAAGCTGTAATAGTGAATGGATTGCTTTCTTTGTTTCCAAATCTACCATCCTTATAGCAAAGAAAATACTTGTTCAGACACCCGAGATGCTTCTATAAGTTAGCCCTCTTGCACAAGTCTTTTTCTGAGCCCAGTATTCTACTTTGTGTTTCTTTGGTAGCACAGCAGTAGGGCGTTTGCCTTGCATGCAGCCAGTCCGGCTGAGCTGGGTTCAATTCCTCCACCTCTCTCGGAGAGCCCAGCAAGCTGCCAATAGTATCTTGCCCGCATGGCAAAGCCTGGCAACCTCCCCGTGACGTATTCGAGATGCCAAAAAAACAGTTACAACAAATCTCACAATGGAGATGTTACTGGTGCCCACTCAAGCAAATCGATGAACAGCAGGAGAACAGTGTTTGTTTGACACTGCATTGTGATATTATATCTGATTTAATATGTTTTTAATTTAATCACCATGAAATACAGTTACAAAATTGTTCATGATTGAGTTTTATTAATATAATGTTCCAACATCAGCCCCTTTACCAGCGCACATTCATTTCCTGCCACCAATGTTTCCAGTTCCAGTTTTCTCTTCCCACCGCCACCCTGGCTCAGTCTGACTGTATGATGCAGATACTTCTCTCTCTCTTTCTCTCTCTCTCTCCTTTTTCTCTTATTTTAGGTAACGTGGTTTGAAATAGTTATGAAAAGGGTATCATGCATATCACTTTACCTCCTTCGGCACTCATTTTGTGTCCAGAGGGATCATTTCTGACTATCATTGTCATAGTGTTCCGTTCTCTATCCTAACCGCCCTCTCTCCCTGCTTTGGTATCCAGCTTCCTACCATGGACCAGTCCTCCTGGCCCTTGTTTCTACTGTCTTTGGGTATTATTCACATACTGTAGCACTGTGGCACTGCACTGTCCTCCCACGTTGTTCAGCAATTTGCTCGAGTGGGCACCGGTAATGTCTCCATTGTGAGACTTGTTGTTACTGTTTTTGGTATATTGAATATGTCATGGGTAGCTTGCCAGGCTCTGCCGTGCAGGCAGGATACTCTCCGTAGCTTGCTGGGCTCTCCGAGAGGGATGAAGGAATTGAACCTGGGTTGGCTGGTGCAAGGCAGATACCCTACCTGCTGTGATATTGCTCCAGCCCATTTATATACTATGTTTTAAAAAAATTATTATTCTATCTGTTTCAGGTGAAAAGCAAACCAGAGGGGAGGATAGAACTGGTCCCATCTGTCCCACGGGCGTCTGTCCCTATGGTTCTACTCACTGACCCCTTCTTTCCACTTCCCTCTTGAGAATTGCTACTTTTTTTTTTTTTTTGCATTTTGGGTCACACCCAGCGATGCACAAGGATTACTCCTGGCTCTGGCTCTGCGCTCACGAATTACCCCTGGTGGTGCTCAGGGGACCATATGGGATGCTGGGAATCGAACCTGGGTTGGCTGTGTGTAAGGCAAACGCCCTACCCGCTGTGCTATTGCTCCAGCCCCATGATACTTGGTTTTAATGGTGCATTTAGACTAAAAAAAAATAAATTGAAAAGCTCTTATCCTATTTCCCTGCATTTGAGGGATAGGTCCCAAGTGAAAATTGTCCATGATAAGAGCTCAGGAAGACCAAGTGGTAGGGAGGGAGACACACAGGGGTGGCGCCCTTGAAGCCATCTGGGATGAGAGCTTGAAGTCATCCTGCAGTTCCTTCTGGGGGAGAAAAGAGAGCTGACAGGGCTGCAGCACACTGGACCTTCAGAGACACAGCCAAGACCAAGGCCAGCAGAAGCCTTTATTGATTCTTCATGGCTCTTTGCCATGACATTCAACTACTGAAGGAAAAGCTGAGAAATTCAGGTCGAACCATATGTAGTTCTGACAAAGCTGATGATGAGCAGGATGACTGAAGGAGGGGCGTCTCCATGCAGAGTCCCCCCTTGATCAACAATCTCAGAACTGGAAGGACTCTGAGATTCAATTCCCACTCTCTGTTGTTCAGCTGCTGTGAAGGGCTCTAATTAGGCAGAATGTAAAGATGTGTGGTAAAATATTGACTTTCACCCAGCTCTGTTTTGGAAAGTTCTTCCTTGCCTTAAGCCAAAGTCTATCTTTGCACAACTGTGGCTCATTTATCATTTCCCAGTTCTTAAAAGACACCTTCAAATTAAACCCTATTCCCTGTGTATTTTAGAAGTTATAATACCACCCCTGAACCTACATCCTCCTTATCATCTCTCCACTCCATGCACTGATGCTTTAAGTATTTGAAGAGAGCTGCAATATTTTATTTCAGCTGTTCTCTGATGAAGGTCATAGAGAAATATAGTAACAGTTAAGTCAATGAGAAATAGTAACTCAGTGGAGAATGGGAGAGACATTATTGTAATCTCCAAGTAATTCTATGAGGATTGAATTATACAGTTTGTGAAAACAGCTCAAAATAATTATCCATTATATAATATACATTTAATTATTTCTTTTTAAAAAATATTAAAAGATGTATTGAGTCACGGTGACTCACAACTTATTGTGAGTCACAAGTTATTCATGATTGTGTTTTAGGCTTACACCAGTCCTTTTACCTGTGTCCACTTCTCTCCATCAATGTCTCCAATTTCCCTTCCAACCCCTGCTTGGTTGTGCCCCTACAGGCACTTCCTCTCCCCATTTCTTTTGGGGTCTTTGGTTTACAATGCTATTACTGATGGTGTATCATCTTTCTCAGTGAGCAACAGATGATATGAAGGTCCAGTGATCACCTCAATTATTCTATATTGACAAATCTTTATGGACTTCTATTATATTTTTTTCTACACTGGGGGTCTTCCGACTTGTTCAGTATGAGACCCAGTGATGCTGAGCTTCTTGGACTTTTCCCAAGGATCACTCAGGCTGTGTCTAGCATGATGTGGAGCTAGGAGTTAGAACCAGTGTTTACTTATGCAGGCACGAGCCTTAACACCGTGCTATTTCTCCAGCCCTCTATAATGTCTTAGAAATGGAAACGTAGACAAGGGCATCATTTCACTGATAATAAAAGTGAGTAAGCTGGATTGATTTTTAAGCATCCTTTAGAATGTTCATCTTTTATTCTATCAAAGGCTTATAAATAAAAATTAAATTCATATAGGAGTGTTGCAGGCAGAGAGACAAGGGGCCCTGGGTAATACATGTGGGAAAACAACACCTGAAACCTAAACCATCCTGAAGGCATGGAGGCCTTTGACACTAAAGGCCCATCTCAGGAACCTGGAAAGCTACTGAGATGCAGAATTCCAGTCCTCAACAATGATGGATTCTGGCTGTCTGAACTCCTGTGAGAGATGCTCCGACTCTGGAACAAAGGCTATGCATGGAAGATCCAAAGACCACCAGCTGCTTCAATCTCTTCCCTTGGTAACCACAGTCTGGAGGAGGCAATTTGGGAAAAGTGCAGGTAACTGAGCTGAGCAGAGGAAGAGGCTCTCACAGGCTGGCTGGCGTCTCTGCTCTTGCCACGTGCACCCCTGCTTGGATGCACCCTGGCTCTCTCCAGACTGGAGAAGCCCATGTTCTCTCTGAGAATGTCTCTAAATATACCTTTTCTTCTTGCCTCCCATGATTTCCCCAATAAACTTGTTTTTCTTCACTATTTGTCTTCTTCCGAAAGTCTTTTCTGTGAGGAAAAGGTGAAGGACTCAAAAAGCCTGGGTAAGATTTAGGACGGACTTTCCTTTCCTGCACAGAGCCATTCCTTTGCTTTAGCCTGTACCCATGACTTCCCAGGAAATCAGGTGGCAGGGAGCATCTGTCTCTCCGTGCAGAACAAGGGGATGTCAGGTGCAGCTCCACAGGGTCGGTGCCTGCAGGGGCTGAGAGCAGACTTTTATCCATCCTGACCCTCCCAGGCACTTCCCTGAGTCACAGAGGGAAAAGGCAGATCTCCTCCCTGCTGACACCTCTCTAATCCCCACTTCACATAAACCACCAGGAAACACTGCTGCTCCCCTGGTGGGAGTCTAGTCTCCCCTCCCCGACCACAGCAGGAGTTAATATTCACACTTTATGTCCAACACTCAGATTCTCATGTAAGCTCATGAAACATACTTATCCAATTCACCTTTCTCTTTGAAATAATATCTCCCCCCTATAAAATGCCTGTAAAATGACAGGCAAAGCTACTAAACTGAGATGAGAAAGTTGGGCAAAAAAATACATGTTTCATAAAAATGTAAGAGTTTTCCATTTACAGCAAGCAAGTGATTTCCTATATCACTGTCTATCTACAGGAGTGGTATTTGAATAGCCTTTGAAAATAGTTGTTTGCTTTCATTGTAGGTACTTCACTTGAAGGACTTTGTAATGACTTCAAATTCATCCAACACAAAGGTAAATGTAGTTGTACTTTGCTCTTACTATTATGAGCATATTTGTTCCCTAAGGACTAAAAGTTCAATACAATTAAGTGGGGAGTTTTTCTCCTAGATGTTCTTGAGGTCTATAAATGCATACAAACTCCTGCCGCTGTTACTTTTTAAATTTTTTTTTTTACATTTTTTTTTTTTAGTGAATTACTGTGAGATCTAGTTACAAAATTTTCATGGGCTGGAACAATAGCACAGCGGGTAGGGCGTTTGCCTTGCACGCAGCCAACATGGCCAACCTGAGTTCGATTCCTCCGCCCCTCTCAGAGAGCCCGGCAACCTACGGAGAGTATCTCGCCCGCACGGCAGATACGGGCAGATACGGGCAGATACACCCGCCAGGCAGAGCCTGGCAAGCTACCTGTGATGTATTCGATATGCCAAACACAGTAACAACAAGTCTCACGAAGGAGATGTTACTGGGCCCGCTCAAGCAAATCGATGAACAACGGGAGGACCGTGATGATGACCGTGATGAGTTTCAGTCACAGAATGATCAAACACCCATACCTCCACCAGTGTATATTTTCCACCACCAATGTCCCCAGTATCCCTTCCGCCTTTCCCACTTCACCCACCCCTGCTCTGTGGCAGAAAATTTTCTTCTTATTCTCTCTCTACTTCCAGGAATTGTGGTTTGCAATATAGTTACTGAGAAGATTCGGTCCTTTATCTACTTTCAGCACACATCTCCCATCCATCATTGGACAACATAACTCAGCAAAAGGCATACTTTTTTTTTTGCTTTTTGGGTCACACCTGATGATGCACAGGGGTTACTCCTGGCTTTGCACTCAGGAACCACTCCTGGCAGTACTCTGGGGACCATGTGGGATGCTGGGAATTCAACCCAGGTAGGCTCCATGCAAGGCAAAAAAACACGCTACCTGCTGTGTGATGGCTCCAGCCCCAAGGCATACATTTTAATTAATTCAAATGATTTAAGTCTTCAAAGTCTTAGTAAACTTGAGTCACTTGGTCTTTATTTTTAAATGTGTATAGCTGTATTCCCACTTTCAAGTGCTTTCTAACTTCAACTTAGTGTGCACAAGATACAGGAGTCCATGCGGGCATTTCTGCGCTCCTCTCTGAGATCAAGGCCAGCCACAGCCGGTTCCATATGGTGAGTGGAATGTTTACAGGAGAAGCCCATCCTTTCCTTCCGGTGAGTGAACTAGCGTGTTTCCACAAGTAAGGCAGAAGTCTTCCCTTCCTGTTCTTTGTTAAATTTGTTCTAGTGCTATTTGTGCTATTAAAAATGTAGGAAAGTAGAAAAGAGATTTATTTAGATACAGACATCCTGCATATAAATGATACAATATGAGAAAAACTGGGCACATTGGTGGTGGGAAATGTGCACTGGTGAAGGGACAGGTGTTGGAATACTGTGTGACTGAAACCCAATCAAGAACAACTCTGCAACTGTATATCTCATGGTGATTCAATTAAAAGAAAGTATGGAAGGGTTTGGGATTTTGATTTCCAAATGCTAATTCATCAGAGTCAAGTTTTATAAACCTCAAATAATACATATAAAGCATACATTTTACACTGTTTATGATTAAAACCAATTGCAACATTGGCAATATTTTGGTAATAAAAGAGGAACTGGTATCCTGAATCCCAATTTGGGGTCGCTTATTATCTTAAGTCTAATAGTCATAATTGAATAGTTATGGATGTAAGGTATGGTCTCAAGAACTGAAAAGAAAATGCCATTCTTAATTATATTTATCTCTATCAAGCATGACAAATGTGTACATTTTTATTACTTGGCACCTGATCCAGTAAAGCAGTGTTTTATAAAATTATTTATTTACCTGTAGTTAAATATCATGTATGGTCTGAATAAAAAATAAAAATATTTTTCCTCTGTCCTTTTTCCCCCTCTTCTCACTTTATAGAAATATTTAGACTGTATTGAACATTTATACAACCTGAAACCTGAACATTTGGATTTCAAAAATAATTTAGAAAAATCCAGAATGTATATTAACTCATGGATTGAAAAGAAAACAAAAGGTAAGAGATTTATGCTTTCTCTTTCTCTTTCATCTTTTACTTCATTTAACTAGGCATAAATTACATATAGGGAAATGCTCAGGTCTTAAAAATTATACTTGGACAGTTTTGATAAGAGCATATCATCTCATAAAACATTGTCATTACCTTGATAGAGCTTCCATATCTGTTCACAAGCAACCACGGGTTTGACTCTATTATTAATGTTGCCTCACCTAAAATCCAAATAAATGAAATAATATGGTCTGTACCAATGTCAATAGCGCCTTCATTTATCCACTTCTTCTATAGGCATTTGTTTACTTCTAGTCTGGGGATATTAGAAATAAAATGGTTATACAGATTGTTGTGAAAGTCTTGTTCTCTACATATTTTTTCCAGTTCTTTTGTTATAAACACTTAACAGAATTATAAGGACTAGAGTAGAGAAAACTTTTTTCATTTTGTTTTGTCTTTGGACTATACCTGGAGCTACTTAAGGGATCATATGTGGTACCTTAGGCTGAGCCAGATTGGGTGAGTGCCCGGTAAATATCCTAACCCCTGTACTCTCTTTAACTCCAATATTTAACTTTTTTGTTTGTTTTGCTTTTTGGGTCACACTCGGCGATGCTCAGGGGTTACTCCTGGCTCTGTACTCAGGAATTACTCCTGGCAGTGTTTGGAGGACCGTATGGGATTCTGGGGATCAAACCTAGGTCGGCCACTTGCAAGGCAAACGCCCTACCTACTGTGCTATTACTCCGGTCCCATATTTAACTTTTAAGAAACTGCCAAATAGTTTTCCAAAGTGATCATACTATTTTACATTATCATCAACGATATAAGAACATTCTAGGTTGTCAAAATCTTCTTATTTTTTGGTGTTATAAGTATTTGGCATTTACGTGTGTGGTAAAATGCAGAATTAATTCACATTTCTCCTATGACGAATGACATTGAGAATCTTATTTTCTATTGTCTGCTGGGCCTTACTGTATCTTTATTGATGACTTGTCTCTCCCAGTGTTTTGTTCATTTTCCAGTTGGTTGGCTTTTCTTTTATAACTGAGTGGCAGGAATTCTTTATATATTCTAGATTCCAATATTTTCATGAGTTCATATTTTGAAATGAGTTCATTTGTCAGTTACTCTTAGTTTCTAGACGTCTGTGTCTTGTGTATTCATTCATCAAACTTAAGTTTTGATAATTATAAAATTTATTATATCAGTATTTTTATGATGTACTTGCTGTATACTCCCTAAAAATGTTTGCTTATTCTAAGATTTCAAAGATAATCTTTTCTGCTTTTCTCTAAAGGATTTATTGCTTTAGTGTTTACATTTAGTTTTATGATCCATTTCAAATGGACTTATTATTATTATTATAATTATTATTATTTTTAGGCCACACCTGGCTGTGTTCAGGGCTTACTCCTCACTCTGTGCTCAAGGATCACTGCTAGCAAGGCTCAGGGAATCTTATGCAGTATTGGAGATGGGCCTGGGTTGAGTATTTGCAAGGTCAAAGCCTTATCCACTGTACTATGTCTCTGACACCGCAAATAGACATTTAGATAGGATATGAAAAAGGGTGACATTCTTTTTTGAGATGGAAAATCAGGAATTCTACAGCTATGGACTGAGATATAAAGACATATCTTTAATATTTCATATGTGCAATATTTTTATAAGTGAAAATCTATGATTTTAGAATAATTTGACTCTTGGGAAGTAAGAATACATACAAAACAGAAAATCTTCTTTCCCAGTTATGTTTGATTTTATTTCATTTTTTGTTTTGTTTGGCCACACCTAGAGGCACTCAGGGCTTTTTGCTGACTCTGATTTCAGGAATTACTCCTAGGGATACTCAGGAGACTATAGGAAGTGCCAGGGTTTGAAAATCATTGCTGGGTAATAGTTATATGCAAACCGTCAAGTCATTTATTTTAGGTAGAGGGTATACTACTATAAAGATGTCACAGAAAAACAAATGATAATAGTTAATGTGTTAGTTAGCTATAAACTTCCTGTTAACCGGGTAGCTTAATTGTTCCATAAATTAATCAGGCATCCTGACTTCAACAGCACACCTTTCTGTTTTAATTTTGTTTTGCTGAAACTGTTAAATAGTTAAATAGTGGTTATAAATATTCTTGCAATACTTAACCTATCACACCATGTTCTGTGCATTTTACATTTCTTATTTCACTTAATTTCCCAAGACATTATAAGTTAGGTGCTATTACCATTTTACTTAAGAATCAATGAGACCTAGAAAGTGTAAATAAGCCAACCAAGATTTCACTCTAGTAAGTAGTAGAATTTGAGCTCTGAATCTGAGCTCTATTACGTGTGCTCAATTCTAGGCCATCTTGCCCGATGAAGAGGGTATATATGAAATAAGGTAATTTTTCACTTATGGAAATATTTTCACATTGGCTGTATAAGAGCTACTCCCATTTAAAAATGCATAAAAATTGGAAATAGTTGCATTATTATCAAAATGCTTTTATTGAATTAACAATGCTGTAATTAACAGTTTATATAGACTAAATGGATTTTTCTCTTGGTTTTGGGGGCCTCATCTAGAGGAACTTGATGCTCATAGGTGGTGGTCCTCCAGAGACCACCTGGGGCTGGTGATCAGACCCAGGGCTCCTGCATGAAATACACACTCCAGCCCTCTCACCCAGCACTCCGGTCCCAGATGATTTTCAATCATTCTCCTTCCAAATGCAAACTTTCAAATATGTGTTTATCTTACGGATATCCTTATCTAATATTCTCTGTACTGGGATGATTTGTCAGATTCTCAGGTGCAGGACTGCTGGTTAAAGAGAAAATATTTTAAGTCTCTTTTTAAAAAAATCAGATTTTGAAAAAATCTGTAATAATTCACAAATTCACAAATTCCTTTTACCAAAAATGTTCCATTGAAAATGCAGTTTAGGCTTAGTCTTCAAGCCTGTGTTCCCCCTTAAACAATTATATCTCACTTGCTTGTCTGTATGTCTCTTTGCTTGCTTATTTCCATTCTGGAGAAGACAGTGTTCTAGTGTTCTCTCTCAAATATGTGCTTCTTTCTTTGTCTCCCCTCACCTCTTTCTAAATAAGTTTCAAAAGAAATGTTCCTGGTTCACCCAAAGCAAACAAACAAAGAAGCAAACCCACAAACCAACTTAAAAAATACAGTTTATTCTGTCATTCTGGTCATTATATCAACTCCTAGTACCAGAAAATTAAATGCTCTACCGCTGAATCACATCCCTAACCCCATTCTGGACAAATAAAGAAACTTTTTTTTTTAAATTTCATACACTACTGAAGAACATGAACATATTTCCATGCTTCTCTTCTCTGTCTTGCCTATTTCTAGCCTATGCTCATTTTCCTAATAAGTAGCTTAATTCCTTGTTAATTTGTTCAGAACACACTGCATATTTATTTTACACATGGAAAGCCCTTTTACAAATTTATTTAAAGTTAACTTTGAGTTTATTTTTGCCAGGCACATTTAAATTTTGATTGTTATACATGACTATTTTTGATTCTACAACTTCTAGATGTCTAGAATTGTTGAAAAAATATTCCTGTATACAGTAGGATTATACATGTTAAAGTATATGCACAAAAATCTTACCTTTTTCTAGAATATTTTTATATTTTTGTTTCAAATCCAAATTATATCAGGGCAATATTTTATTTTTACCAAACATGGAGAAACAAAGACAGATTAAAAGTACTAAATTCATTAACAAAGCAAGGCAAGTAAATTTCATTAAGAATTTTGTGTGTTGCTATAAAGTAGATTAAATACTCTATTTCCTTCTGCATCTTGCATTGTTCATCTGTTGGAGAGTTATGAATAAATGATGCCCAAGAGCATTTTTGGTTTCTTTTCTGTTATTTTTGCTTAACTGAAGACAGCAAGTGACTGTGGCTTAGACTAATTCAAAGATAGATTATAAACAGTAGTAAAACTGTATTCTATGGCTGCTCAGGTATGCGCTTGCTATGTTTTTCTTCCTCAAGGTGAAATCAAAGACATCTTGGCCCCCAGCAGCCTTGCCTCCTCAGACCAGTTGGTGCTGGTTAGTAGTTTCTCCTTCAGAGGGATCTCAAAGGATGCATTTCAGAAAGAACAAACCAAAGTAATGGCTTTCAGGCTCAATGAGGTAATCTCTCCACTTAATTTGTTCTCTTAAATGTAATTCTTTAAAAGGTTTCCCTTCAAATATGCAAAATTATTTCTGATTTCAGGTAAACAAATTAAAGCCAAGTTCCTATTTAAGTTTTGTACTCACTGAAATACAGATCTAGATTTACAACACGCTTAGTTGATTGATGAATTTTTTCTTTTAAATTCTCCATAGTGCTTTTACCCATATTTTGAAAGCAGAGATGCCATTATTAGCACAATTTTAAAATTAAAATGGATGTACAATGTAGAGACTTTGAAAAGGTTGGAATTAGCTTTGGGCCTTAGGTTAAGCTTACCTCATTAGTAAGTGATTACTAATGCATGTTGGAAATGGAGTCAATTGCTAGGAAGTGACTCTGGGAGACACTCTGGAAGTCGCAAGTGTGTCATTTGTCATTTGCAAAGTGCATGTGTCTTTGTGAAGCAAAGTAAATTAGTGAATAAGATTGGCAGTCATAGAGAAGGTTCTTGGCACTCGTAGGGTGTGCTTCAAGCATTCTGTTTTCCCAACTTTTCTTCTTGGAACCCCCAAAGTAGTTTACATATAAGGCTATAGCCAAAATAAGACTTCTCATTTAAAAGGAAAGAATGATTCTAAAATTTATGAAGCCCCTCGGCTATTCACTAAATTTTCTTTGTCAAATATGCTATCAGTTGTGAAATGATTGATTCATTTCAAATTGGTCACAGGCAAGTATAAAAATAAAGACTATGCTTCTTAATAAAAATGATTAACGTAAAAGAAAACAGTGAATGATTTTAAAGATCAAAATTTCTTCAGTGAAACACCTTAGAAACATGTGGAAAAATATAGTACATCTTGCCAAAGACTATTATCAACAGATGTTAAGGTTGTAAAACAAAGTGAAATGATGCAGTTTTGTATGACCATTTTACAAAATGCCAATTTCTATGTCACATTTTGAAGATTCTGATTTGTAAGAAATGTTTGAGCATTTGTATTTTTAATAATCCTTCTAGGTGTTTCCAAGGACCAGGAAAATGGCAAAAGGAACACACTGCAAGGATAGCACTGTAGCACTGTCCTCCCGTTCATTGATTTGTTGGAGCGGGCACCAGTAATGTCTCCATTGTGAGATTTGTTGTTACTGTCTTTTGCATCGAATACACTGCAGGGAGCTTGCCAGGCCCTGCCATGTGGGTGGGATACTCTCGGTAGTTTGCCAGGCTCTCCGAGAGGGATGGAGAAATCGAAACTGGGTCAGCCACAAGCAAAGAAAATGCCCTACCCACTGTGCTGTTGCTTCTACTCCAGGGTGTACATTTTATTCTTAGAATGATACTAGGAGTAAGCCTACCCTAAAGCTAACAGAGTTGCTTGAGGAAATAATTGATAAATCAGAATCTTTAATTTCACAAAACACCTGGACCATTTGGTTTATGTTATGTTAACTAGCTTTTCGAAGAGAGAAACCAAGTACTGTTATAGAAATAAATGAATTTCCATAAAGTGACCACACTACGTGAAACTCTGCTCTTTGGTCCAGATTAACCCAGATTAGTCAGATTTTGGGTCTCATTCTCCTAAAGAGCCTTGAATATAATCTCAGGGCTAGGATGAAAGAGACGTTACTGGGGCCTGCTCGAGGCAATCGATGAATAACAGTCAGATTTTATCTGCAATGGAGAGATTTCTAAATTTTGTTTTATAAAACCCATTTGACTTTAAAGATCATTTATCCTGATAAGATATGAAGGTGCCTATTTCCAAACTCTTTGAAGCGAATCAATTGCTTCTGGACATCTATACAGTTGAATGAAAATAATGTATTGAGAGACAAACACTTTGTACTTCAGTATCTACTTTTCTAAAGCTACTTTCCCTCTAAGTCATCAAAATAATGATCAGAAATAGCTGTGAAAAGATGAACTTGGTTTTGCCACTCACTGTGCATAAATTTTGAGGATACATATCACTGCAAACTCCCATGCCTTCAACGGAAACATGTCAAGGCTTTGTTGTTTGACTGTTTTTACTTTTCCTGTAGTACAAAAGCAAGCCGGTGCAGATGATGCAGCTGTGTGGGCGCTTTAAACTGGGCTTCATAGAGGAACCTCGGGCCCAGGTCCTTGAGCTACCCAACGCCCAAGACGACCTGAAGATAATCATTATCCTGCCCAGTGAGGATCTCGGCGTGGGACAGGTGATCCACTGAGATTCTGCAGTACAATTCCAACAGCAGGCTCTATGCGTGAGGATTTAAAATAACTGTAAACACTGCAACTTAACACAGTTATGTCCCCTTAAAGTATTAAGCAGAACAGCTCCCCATAAAGCAAACACGTCACTGATGCTTCTATTAATGTTCCAGGCTGTTAAAAGCCTGCCTTTTGTATTTAGTCTTTATTGGGATGTCTTGTCCTGGTACATACATATTAGCAGATGTAAAACACTTTGACAGCCCTTCTGATAATATAACACGTTGACAACTCTTTTGAACATGTTGTGGACCTACTCTATCAATTTCCACCAACAGTCAAGGACAAACCATGCAAACTCAAAGCTCCAGTCTATTCCCTTGGCTTTTTATTTCCTGGTCCTTTCCTTTGAATCCCATGGGGACACTCATGTCTCATATCATGACCGTGGGTTCCTGCTGTTGGCAGTCGGCAGTCTTGTAGATCTATTCTCAGCATCTTTATTGGAATCTTTCTTTCCTCAATATTTTTCCCCTTTACTTATTTCATGTTCTGTGTCCTACTTGTTCCTTGAGGCAGGCTTCTCATTGTCCTCGTTATTCTCTATGTCTTTAGCTACAAGGACTGCCATTAGCCTCTTGAAGCAACTTAGCAGGCTCTGGTTGCCACTGGCAGGAAGAATGTTGAAAACCAAGTTATTCCATGGGAGCTCAACCTTCCCAGCAATGAATTGCCTGTTCTCTGATTTCTTAGTGTATCCTAAGTTTGGTGTTCAAATATCTTAGACTCACTGAGTAGAAGGCTGAAAATAAAAAATTCACAAAAAATTTTACTACTTAAAAGTAACAATGATATTGCAATTATAATAAAAAAAGAAAAGGTAGAAAAGATAGAGGATGACAGGGTTGTGGAGTGTCTATTTCATATAGGATGAGAAAGGAAAGCCTCTCTGATAAAGGTGAGTGATTGCCTTTTCTAGCATTAGATAGTTATTAATTTTCTTTCCTATGATTGGCAGTGAAGGGACATTAATTTGTAGGTAGTGAACACACAATCTGACTGTAGTTTTGACACAAACTCACATTAGGGCAATGGAACAGTTATGTTTGTTATCTTACTTTGTCCACACCCTAAACAAACAAATGGGTAAAATATAGCATTCCTTTCAGGTCTTAAATTTAATGACCAATAAAAAGGCACCATATAATATAACCAACATAATTACATTATCACCTCAGTGGCATACATAACATAATTGACCTTAATAATAAAAATGAGACGTTTCTGGGGTTGAAGAGATAATACAGTGGGTAAGACACTTGCCTAACATGTGGCTGCATATGGTCCCCTGTGCACTGCCAGGATTGATTTCCAAGGAAGGCACCAGAAGTAGCCCCGAGAACTCTGGATGTGACTCAAGCTGCTGATTCTCCTGTTCAAAATGAGATATTTCACCAAATGATGTTACCCATCTGTAGAAGACAGAGAATAAAAACAAGGGGACAGGATTGGACAGTGAAAAGTTCCTGCACTTGGAATACAAACCTGATTAATAATCAGTGGGGGAAGGGCTGGAAATGAAATCAATTAGAAGTGACATAGGGACAGTGGTGGATCTGGGGCACTTTGCTAATGGTGGGGAAGAGTAAAATTTTATATCAATATCTCTTAGTTTCACTCTATTTTACACATGTTACCTAAACTATAATAATATTAGAAAATAAAAATTAAAAATACGATATCCCAAAGCAGACATTTCAAGAATAATGTTAAGATTTCTGAGAAGTGGGCAAATGCTAAAATACAATTACAGTTTTCTGAATAAATTGAAGGAGTAAGGAGAGGAATTAGTTTTTTTTTTTATGGTGCATTGATTTTCTCCTGTTGAATTATGTGGCATTCATTCAGCATTATGAATGAAGGGAGCCCTCCCTGGTCCCTTTCAGGAAGTTGGCATTTGGTGAATGTCAGTTCCAGCTAGTGATGTCTTCTGCTTTGAGTTCATTGGAGGGGGTTTGGTCTACCTTTTCAAAGTTTAAATGAGTCATGGGACACGTGATTCTTCTTCCAATAAGAATAATTAGAAATGGTGTCAGATGGCGAATAGATGAGTTAAAGGACAATGATCTAGGGAGCATTAAAATACTCAGAGGCAACATGGAAGAAGAAATAGACTAACATTGTGTGACTCCTAGAGGGAGAATTAAAATTGATAAGTGCAAATTAGAGGAAATCCGATTTAAGGTCAAATAAAAGGGGTTTTCCTTCTCTTCAAACTGAGCGGTACAACTCTGCAAATCTGGAGCAGAACTGTTTCTTAGAGATGTAGAGCAAGGAAGCCAGGATTCAGGCAGAGGCTGAAAGGCATTACAAACACTAAGACAGACTATTGCAATCTCTTGTTTCAGATTTCAGAGGATTTGTTTCTAGAAATTTACTTTGATATGAATCCAGTCTGTGGAATGGATTAACTGATGAGAATTTTGGCTTAAGATGTGATAGAGAGTTACATTCTTCAGTCCGGAATGATGTACATTGTTAGAACTATAGAATTCTGGGTTACAAAGAAATCTTTCCCGTGCTTAGTAAAAAAAATGGTAGGCACTTATAAGAAGGTACAATCACAACACAGCTCAATAATTTATAAAGGGATCAGAAAAGGAAGAAAACCACAAATGCCCCAGATCTATTTATTTCTTCATTGTCGATGTGTTAATGCTCTGCTGACCTGGTTGGTGTCTCTCAGCATAGGTTACAAGCTACATACATGCAGACTGAGTCTACAATTTTTGCACATGGCTGCATTGTTCCGCTCAGAGAAAATACACTTTTAAAACTGGCAATGAATAGACTTATCTATTGACAGCTTCTCATTCAACGCTTTTGGATTTATTTATTTTTGTGTTTTGCTTTTTTGGGCTACACCTCAGGGTGCTCAAGGCTTATTTCTGGCTCTGTGCTCTGGTCTCACTTGTGGAGGTGTTCAAGGGAATATATGAGATGCAAGGGATGAACTGGACTGGGTGCGAAGCAAGCACCTCTTGTTCTGTTCTATTTCTTTACTCCTTCCCATTAAACTGTTAAAGTATTTCACATTTTGCTATAACTTTGGGTTATAAAGCTGATTTGCTTCATGTTTTCTTTCCCATAGATTACTAGAGAAATCTCTTATGAGAATCTGAAAAACTGGGCAAGTGCAGGCAATATGAAAGGCATAGCCAGGGTACTGCACATGCCCCAGCTTCGACTGGAGGAACGTCACGAAGATCTGTCCTTCATCCTGGAAGCTTTAGGAATGACAGACATCTTTGACAGTGCAAAGGCGGACTTGTCTGGCATCACTTCTGCAGGAGGTCTCATGGTTTCCAAGATAATCCATAAGGTCGAGCTAGACTTTACTGCAGGGAATTCAGAGTTTGAATGCACCAATCAAACGAGCCCAGCGGAAGCTCCTGAAATCATCAAGGTGGATCACCCTTTCCTCTTCTTGATCCTACACAAGCAAACGGAAACGATTCTCTTTTATGGGAGAGTCGCCTCCCCTGAAGGGAAGGATTGAATTAGTTCTCAAACAATTTTATGACAATTCAAATTAGATGAATTTTATGAGCATGTAGTGGGTGCAACTGAAAGATAGGATAAACTTCTTAACTAATGTTTTTCTCCCAGCTATCTAAGGTAGATCATCCATCCGATCCCTCCTTGGTTTTGCTTCTTTTGGTTGAGCAAGCTATAGCATGCCATTGATTCTAATTATCAAAATATTATGATTCTAACACTTCTTTCTTAGGAAACTCTCAAATTACTCATAACCTCGTTTATAGCTTGCTAAAACTCTGAATGACTTTTCCAAAGAAAATGTGATGACATTATGCAATTATTTTTTCAAAACACATATGTCTCACTGCAACTAATACAATGTTATCTGTAAGAAGTGTCAGCCTTCATTGGGCAAATGATTTTCACCAGACATTGTCATGAATTGCCTAATGGTGATCCAACTTAGGTTTAGTAATTTAGCTTACAGACGGCACGTAACAGACTGGATTCCAAACCCCAAAAGACTGAGACAAACCCTTAACACTTGATTGTGAACTATGTCGTGTTTATATATCTTGATTCTAAGACTTAAAACCAGAACTACTAAGGTTGAAAATAAAGCAGATCCTGGATCGTGTGGCCATACTCATACCACCCATACTCCAAGAGTACCTCATCACGTTTGATGGGGTTTAAAGTAGGAGGCAAACAATCTTAGAGGAAAATTTTTTTTTCACATACATACATACATATATTACTCCACCCCTCTCGGAGAGCCTGGTAAGTTACCGAGAGCATCCCGCTCGCAAGGCAGAACCTGGTAAGCTACCCGTGACGTATTCAATATGCCAAAAACAGTAACAACAAGTCTCACAATGGAGACATTACTGGTACCCGCTCGAGTAAATCAATGAACAATAGGAGGACAGTACTACAGTGCAGTGCTACACATACACACACACACACGCACACACACACACATATAAAAGCACACAAGGCTCAACAGTTAACAACACGTTAGTAATTTATAGAAGGGCTTAATGGCCCCTGGGTAAAATAAAACAATCTTCACACTCTTTCCTCTAAGGAAACTTTTTTGTAGCATTTTTAGTGGTTTTTCATAACAAACAATACAAAATAAATAAGTTCTGTTCTGCGGTGGGGCAGAGGTTAGAGTTTAGGATGGAAACATCTGAAATATGGTTGTGGGAAGGTGTAATGGTGTTGGGATTGATGTTCCAATATTAAATGTAATCAAATATTATGAACTGCTTTACAAAATAAAAAAATAAAAATAAATGTCCATAGCACTGTCCTCCCGTTGTTCATTGATTTGCTCGAGTGGGCACCAGTAACATCTCCATTGTGAGACTTGTTGTTACTGTTTTTGGCATAATGAATACACCACGGGGAGCTTGCCAGGCTCTGCCATGAGGCCAGGATATTTTTGGTAGCTTGCCCGGCTCTCTGAGAGGGACGGAGAAATAGAACCCTGGTCAGCCACGTGCAAGGCAAATGCCCTACCTGCTGTGCTATTGCTTCAGCAATAAATAAATAATAAAATAAAGCAGAAAGATAAAGAAAGGGGTTGTTTTCTTTTATCACAGATAAGAATGGGCATAATTCAGAAATAAGATTTACCAATAAATGTCATATTTATAAAAACAACAGAGAAATTTATATTTGAAATAATTTCACAGGCAAATGTTTTTGTTTTTTATTCTCTTCCATTCCATCATTCTCCTTTTAATCTCCACTTTCTTATCATATGGTTCTTCTTTCTCCTGCCTCTTGTAACCCTTCTCTGACCCTCATAGTCTCAAGTCCCTGTCTAGGGGAACCCCATTTGAGGATGGGATAGAAAGTCCCTGGATTTGATATTGGGAAGACGTAGGTGGAAATCCTGTCCGGGCATTGAGCAGATTCAAGTTGGGGTGAGGCATTTACCTCCTGGAGTCAGCCTCCTCTTTTGAAATAGATTGCTCAGTCCTGTCACCTTCCTAAGGCTTCTGGAAGATTCAAAAGTTAACACAAAAGTAAATATGGAAAGATAGCTTTATAATTACATTCTGCAAAATGTGCAATTCCAGAGAAACCACATAAAGACTCAAAGAACCTTCTTTGAACCACATTTTCTAATCTAATAACAAGTTTTATTTCTCTTTGCTTTCCACATCTCTTATGAGAAGAACATCATTCCTTTGTGTTCTCAAAAAACTTGGTTGTCTTGGTTGGCAATTAACATTAACTGCATTTTGGGTCTGGAGAAATGATACAAGAGGTAAGGTATTTGCCTTGCATGCAGCCAGCCCCAGTTCTATCTTGGCATGGTTCCTAGAGCTCTACCGGGGTGATCCCTGAGCATAGAGCCAGGAGTAAGTACTGAAAACTGATTGGATACCCCAACCCCCAACTAAAACAAAAAAAAATAAAACAAAAAGTCCCAGAAAACAAACAATACAATATTATTCTTGCATTCTAATTTCTGGCCATTAGGCATCTTTGATTTTATCTGGTGGGAATGATTTGGAGAAACAACTTTCTTGCCCTTTGTTCTAGAGGAAACCAGAGACACCCTAATACTGCATTCCCAGAATTTAGTGTCAACACTGTCCACTGTTTAGGCTGACTCCTGAGTCACCACTACTTCTAAATTAAGTATTTCCAGAAGCAGCCAAAGCTGTCTAAACAGACAATTCATGCTCGCTAAGCCCAGGATACTTCCAAGGCAGAGGACAAAGACAGAGTAACACACTCAGTTGAAGCATGTAAACTTTGGAGTTTTTTTTTTTTATTTTAATTATGAGGACTGTCAATGTCACTGTCCTCCCATTGTTCATCGATTTGCTCGAGCGGGCCCAGTAATGTCTCCATTGTGACAATTGTTACTGTGTTTGGCATATCAAATACATCATGGGTAGCTTGCCAGGCTTTGCTGTGCGTGTGAAATACTCTCAGTAGCTTGCTGGGCTCTCCTAGAGGGGTGGAGGAATCGAACTTGGGTTGGCCATGTTGGATGCTTGCAAGGCAAACACCCTACCCACTGCGCTATCACTCCGGCCCAATTATGAGGACTATTTATTTATTTTTTTGATAATTTTTAAAAACACCTGTTACTGGTAATCTACCGAATGTAACCTGCCCACACAGCAGAGTCTGGCAAACTCCCCGTGGAGTACCTAATATGCCAAATACCAGTAACAATAAAGGGTCTCATTCTCCTAACTCTGAAAGAGCCTTGAATATGGCACTTTTTAAAAAATCTCAGGGTTAGGACGAAGGAGACGTTACTAGGGACTGCTCGAGGCAATCGACGAATAACAGGATGGTCGTGATCGTGATCGTGGTGACCTGTTACTGGTGAGTTCCAAGGGGAAAACAAAGGGAAAAGAAAACATAACCAGGAAGTGAGATTAATTTGGTTTTGTGAACTAAAATTCTAAAAGTTGAATCCATAGTTGAAGAAGAATGAACTGACTAAGCCATTGGTGTGTCTCCAACATAAGAAAAATAACTAAGTACCCTTCCCCAAGGCTTTTGCTGCCAAGGACATGCTTCTGGAGCACCGTGTGGTAGCCAGAGCTGTTGGAGGGTCCCCATTGCTCATGGGGCATCATCAGTCTTAGTTCTCCCCAACAAGTAGAATCATGAAGCTTAACCGGTGCTGCTTTTTTATGCGATGCTTTGTTTACACACAAGGAAAAAAATGTTATTTCCAAAAAGAGACAGTTAATGATTAATTTTAGTCTATTTCTTTCCTGTGAATATTCATGGCTTTAGTCCCAAATGAATCCACTGATTAGACTTTCCAAATTCAACACTGAGTGATATCATTCATTACCTGATCAAGTACATCATTCTAATTTATTCTATTCCAAAATTCAAGCCATTTTGACAACTCCCTCCCATGTTGATTAGAGTGTGTAATTATAGATTTGATGTTATTGCACACTCAGAATCTTCTTCTGCAAAATCCTGGACCTTTCTCTTCTCCCTCCAAACTGTAGATTTCCCCTCTTACAAACACACACTTTTCCATATTCTTTATTGAGTACCATTTCTGCCATATTTGCACTCTTCCACACTCACATTCTTTTGGCCCTGTTTCTTTCTGCTTCATTTTTGGGGAAATATTTCTTTTGGGTCCATTAGACCATCATTAATTTTCTTATAGACAGCCCCACACTGAAATATATACATATAAATATATATAAACTTAGAAATGTTTGATTAATATATTTTGTTTTAAGCATCATTAGATGCATTTGACATAAGGAAATGAAATACAAAAAGAATTGATTGCAGCTTCCATTTCCTATAAACAGGTATATATAGTTAAAGAATTTTACATTCAGGATTTGTCCAAAGTGACAGTACAGTAAGCAGACTATACCCCGTGAACATAATAAATGACTTAATATCCAAAGACTGGATTTAAAAATAGTATTCGTTGAATTTTGCCTAACCTAAGAACAAGTAAAAACCAAACAGAGGTAAACAGAAACAAAACAGAAACAAAATACCCAACCATTGATTCAGAGATAAAGAGATGAACAGGAGAAGGCTGAGGAGTGAGGAGGAGGAGGAGGAGGAGGAGGAGAGAGAGAGAGAGAGAGAGAGAGAGAGAGAGAGAGAGAGAGAGAGAGAGAGAAAACCAATTGTTGTCAAACAGATTTAAAATAAGTCCTCAAATCAACCACTTAAGATGCTCCTACAAATATTGTGTTTTTAAGATCAATATTTAAAAACTGATTTCTGAAGGAAGCAGGAATTAAAGAAAATACTTTTACAATAAAGAAGTTATGTTTTTGAGAAGTCCAGAATGTGTGCAGAATACGATAAGACAGACAAGAGTAGTAAAACAGGTGTAGAGAAGAGACGGTTCAAAAAAATTTCTTATTCAGTTTTTGATAAAGAACATTTCTACTCATCAGTGTTTGCATCTTTGCATGCCTCACCTTGTATATTGCTTACTTGCGCCCTTTATTAATAGCTACACTTTGATTTATTCATGAATTG